CGTGTTTACATGGAATAAGAAGAAAAATCTATTATCTATTGATTTTGGAATACTTGTTATATATACAAGTTATGTACAAGAATGTTATGTAAATATTTGTTAGTTACTTTTGTAATGTAGCTTCTTGTACTTTTGGAACCGAATATGTAATATTATATTTCTTATTATATAAAATATCTGATTATAATGTAAATGTGAATCTGGCCCAAAACAAAATTCAAACCATGGGAACATTTGATGTAATTATTCCACTTTAGAACGAGATCCATAATTTGATATAAACTATAAACCACAAGACACCAGAATGCAGTTTATTTAAAAAATGGTAATGTAAAAGATTATTATTCCATCTGGGAAAAGATTTGGTTATATTTGTATATATCTGAATCAAAAAAAGAATCGCTATTCATACTCCTTACTCACATACATGATACATCTACCTTTTACCATCTATCTCACTTATACCCCCTTTATAGGAAGGGACATAAATAAAATTCACCATTACGTATATTGTATATGTGATCGCTTGTATACATCTATCGACAAAAAAATGTGATTTGCAGCGATTGGATGCCACACGGAAACTTAGGTGTCATTTAACAAACGTTTATCGTATTATACTCGTTTATCTTACGGGTAACAGTTATTGCCATCAAAATTGATGGATGATAAGTCTTTATAACTGATTAATCACTTACCAAGCAAGAGTCTCCACCCTTACTTATCGAATAATAATTTCGGTCCATATAATAAGATAAGATTTTTTATCTAGATAGCCCTTAAACATCTCTATCGGAGGTTCTGAAGCTCGTGTAAACGGGCAAAATGGCACATGGATTGGGCCATAATTTGCGGAGGAAATTTCTTTTTTTATTTAAAAAGACAAACTTTATTATTTTTTTCTTTTTTACTAAAAAAAGGCAACTTTCTAAATTTTTTCTTTTACATTCGCGCTTCAGTTTTTATAAATTAAAATTTAAAAATTATAATCCGTACAAGGTTATGTTTAAATACAACTACTTATTTATCTATATTATATATTATATTATAAAGTATTTGACAAAAACTCTTAAAAATCATTTTTTATGTATAAAGTACTGTTTGTTGATGCATGTTACTTAAAATTCAAGATCACAAGTAAATTGTGCGTAAGTTCAATTTATTAAAGCTTCAAGTTTGAATTTGTGTAACTAACTATAGATAAACATAATCAAATACGGAATAGACATCTCATTTTAAATATAAAAAATCTAAAATATAATTAGGAGAATCATTAGTTATAACAAAATATTTAATTATTATCTTTATAAAAATTATGTTATTAAACGATAAATAAATTACTTCGTAATTAATTCTAAATTAAAATATTGAATTAAAGAAATTACACAAAAAAAATCAAAACTTTAAATATAAATTTGATATTAATATCGATATCGATATTTTTTTTTTCAAATTTTTATGATATCTTTAAATTTAGATTTTATTCAAAAATAAAAACATTATCGTTTTCTCAAAACCACTAAAAACTGTATTCTATCAACAAAGATAAATAATAAAACGAAACACTAAAATTGAGATATATCTCGTTATATTACAAAAGAAGAATACGTTTTACTTATATATTTGTCTAAATGAATTATGATAAATTTTATTGTAAGTTAGAAGTGAAAAATTAACACATTTTTTTATTAAAATATAAAATTTTATTTCTATATTAATTATGTTTCAACTAAATAATGTTTCATTCATAGAGTAGAACATTCATTTCTATTATTTAGTCATAATCTAATTATTTATAAAAAATAACATTTTTATTTTTCTTTAATAAATTACGAAACCAATCAATGGCATTTTTTTTACTTTCTAGTAACTTTTTTCATTAATAATATTATTTAATACTTCTTTCATTCTAAAATAAATATTCACGTTTAAAAATATATAATTATTAGAAAAAAAATAATTAATAATTAGTTTTAACCAAATTTAGGGGAAAACATGGAAATGCGGGTTGTTTGATAATTGTTGAATAGTTTGGTGAAAAATGATTAAAAGTCTCTCATTATATAGTGTAAAATAAAATATAACTGTTTGGTAATTATTTACAACAAAATTAGGGCGTTAAATGGTTAAGGGAGACCCATGATACAAAATTATTCAGAGTGTTTTAGAACCATTAAGGGACATACTTTTTTTCTCAAACAAGATTCGCCTCTTAATGATTCAGATATTGCGTTTTAATGAAACTATTAAAAGGTAAACAAACAACCCATCAAGTGAGCTTTAACCGATTAGAATTCAACTTATTATTTACACCTTTTTTATTTTTTATTTTTATTCTATACAATTACATTTCATTTTATAATTAGTGTGAAAAAATATAACTAAAACCTGTTTACTTTTAAGAAATTGCATCATTAAAAAGATCTCATCATATCTTCAAAAGACTATGAATATTAAATAATAGTAGAAGGATACTCGTACAATACATCGAAACACATTTTCATTTCAATGTTTCGTTTTATTTTTTATCTATGTCGATATAATACAATTTTATGTGGTTTTGAGAAAGCGATTATGTTTTATTTTTGAATAAAATATAAATTTAAAAATATCATATAAAATTTGTAAAAAATATGTCAATATTAGTATCAAATTATCTAATTAAAAGTTCTTGTTTGTTTGTTTTTTTAATTCAAATTTTTTATTATAATTTATTTTAACGTAACGAAGTAACTTAATTTAGGTTTAATAATATTAATAATTAAGTATTCTATTAGAACTCAATAATTATTCTAATTATATTTTAGATTTTTTATATTTTAAAATGAGATGTTTATCTTTTATTTGATTATGTTTATCTGCAGTTAGTTACACGAATTCAAACATAAAGCTTTAATAAGTTGTACTTATGAACAATTTACTTGTAATCTTGAATTTTAAGTAATATGTATTAATAAACGGTACTTTATGCATAAAAAATGTTTTTAAGAGTTTTTGTCAAATGCTTTATAATATGACTAGAAAAGTACTCGCACAATGCAGCGAAACACATCCCGATTTTAATGTTCTATTTTATTATTTGTCTCTGTCGATGTTATAATACGATTTTATGTATTTTTAAGAAAACAATAATAATTTTATTTTTGAATAAAATATAAATTTAAAAAATATATATATCAATNTTAATAATGAAACAATTTATTTTTGGTTTAATAATATAATATTTTATAAAGATAATAATTAAGTATTCTGTTAGAACTCAATAATTATCATAATTATATTTTAGATTTTTTATATTTTAAAATGAGATGTTTATTTTCTATTTGATTATGTTTATCCGCAGTTAGTTACACGAATTCAAACATAAAGCTTTAATAAGTTGTACTTATGGACAATTTACTTGTAATATTGAATTTTAAGTAATATGCATTAATAAACAGTACTTTACTACTTTATGCATAAAAAATGTTTTTAAGAGTTTTTATCAAATGCTTTATAATATGACTAGAAGAGTACTCACGCAATGCAGCAAAACACATCTCGATTTTAATGTTCTATTTTATTATTTGTCTCTGTCGATGTTATATACAATTTTATGTGTTTTTAAGAAAACAATAATGATTTTATTTTTGAATAAAATATAAATTTGAAAAAAAATATATCAATGTTAATATCAAATCAACTATTTAAAAGTTCTAATTTTTTACGTAATTTTTTTAAAAAAATTATAATTTAATTTAAGTTTAATAACGAAACAATTTATTTTTGGTTTAATAGTATAACATTTTATAAAGATAATAATTAAGTATTCTATTAGAACTCAATTATTATCTTAATTATATTTTAGATTTTTTATATTTAAAATGAGATGTTTATCTTGTATTTGGTTATGTTTATCTGCAGTTAGTTATACGAATTCAAATATGGAGCTTTAATAAGTTGTACTTACGCATAATCTACTTGTAATTTTGAGTTTTAAGTAATACGCATTAATAAACAATATTTTACGCATAAAAAATAGTTTTTAAGAATTTTTATCAAATGCTTTATAATATAGTATAGATTATTATTTTATTTTTCTAATTTTATGATAAAATAAAAATCTAATTCATTTTTAAAGTAAAGAAAAAGATGATGAATGAGCGGAGACTTAGGGTGGACTTGGTAATGGACATGGTATTCTACTGTTTAGGAGGTGGGACCCTGGGGCATCATGGGTTTTGCAAGTGGAGGAGAAGACAGTAGAGAGTGGGCGGCCATGAATTATTTATTTGTTTTTATATATTATAAATTATATTATTAAAATATTTAATACGTTTTATAAAATATTATTTCAAGAATTCTTATTTATAGAAACAATAAAAAAAATTATTTTTCATAAGTAATCATTTTTTAGAGTTCAAAATTTGAAATTTTGCACCTTCTCTATGCTGCTTTTTTCATTTTGAAGAAGGTTTTAAAGAATCTGTTGAAGCAAAAATCCTAAAATCTCAATTTTGAAGAACATGTTAGAAATTGTATGATAAAGTTTGATCCCTTTATGATGATAATTACAATTTCTATAACATTTTTTTTTGGTAACCTTGATATACGAGTCAAAATCAACCTATACACAGATTAATCGTTAATGCAGCTGAGGGAGTCATCTTAAGTGAATATCGATGGACAAATTAGCTTTCGCACTTCGCAACGCCTAATTCTAGAACGATTTTGAAGTAACTATTATAATGCATGACTGATATCAACTTCAATGAATTATTAGATCATCTTGACTTCAAAGAAAGATTCCATTAATGTTCACACGATTTGATTTTCCAACTTTTGGAAGTTTAAGACACGGACTCCATTAGCATGCTTCCTTGATGTTTCCAAGTCATGGAAAAATGAAAAGAAACTCTTTGAAAACATAAAGACGTGAGTATAAATAAAACCCCATGTCCCTTTGTAAGTAAAATGTCTGAGTGATTCTTATTCTATTCACCATCAATCTATAATTAGATATGAGTTGTTCGTCATGTTTCTTTTTCCTACTCCTTCTTATGTCCTTTTTTCATTTATGTTTATCCACTCAAAATTTCAGTAATGTACTATGCAAGGACGTCGAGAGACAAGCACTTCTCCGGTTCAAGCAAGGTGTCATAGATCATGGAGACCAACTTGCTTCATGGGTTAGTGAGGAAAAAGAGTGTTGTAGTTGGGTTGGGATTGTTTGTGACAATTTTACTGGTCATGTTCATCAGATTCGTCTCCGTGGAGTTGATGGTAATTGTCGTGTCAACGATTACACAACTACCAAACCATACGACGAAGCCTCACAAGAGATGTTAGGAGGGGATATAAGTTCATCCTTGTTGCATCTGAAGCAACTCAGACATCTAGACTTGAGTTGCAATGATTTTGGAGGGATCCAAATTCCTAGCTTTATGGGTTCTCTTGCAAATTTGAGATATCTTAACCTCTCGAGTTCCAGATTTGGTGGAATTATCCCTCCTCAACTAGGGAATCTTTCAGAATTGCAAGTCCTCGGTCTTGGAAGTTTTTATGATAAAACTTTTGGATCTGAATCAACTCAGCTATTGAACATGCAGTGGTTGTCAAGTCTACGTTCGTTGCATCACCTGGATATGAGTGGTGTGGACCTAAGCAAAGCAATCAATTGGTTTCAGGTGATGAACACCCTCCCTTCTTTGGTCAAACTACATTTGTCCTCTTGTCAACTCCCTCATGTACATCCCTTTGTTCCTAGTCTTAATATAACATCCCTTTCCTTGCTTGACCTTTCTGGTAACTACTTTGATAGTAGTTTTGTGCCACGGTGGATTTTCAGTATAACAGGTCTAGTTTCATTGGATTTAACCGAGTGTAATTTTCATGGCCCTATTCCTAGTAGTATTGATAGCTTCCGTAACTTGACTGCTCTCAAGTTTCTTCATGTTTCTGGGAATGATTTCATGAATTCCTCATTCGTATTAAAAGGGTTATCTAGTATCGGTAGTACTCTCATCTCTTTAGATATTAGTTCTTGTGGTGTTTCAAGTCCAGTTCTCGACACCCTTCACAACTTGACCTCTCTTCATAGCCTTGATATGTCAAATAATCAACTTACCAAGGCAATACCTAAATCATTGGCTGACCTTTGTAGTTTGAGAAATATTGATTTGGAAAACAATAATTTTCAAAATATGAGTTTGATATTCCTTCTTGGAAGTATTTTCGAGTGCGAATCACCACGATTGGAGTCATTATCCCTTACAAACTCAAAAATATCTGGTCATCTTCCAGATTCAATCGGGAGACTATCTTTTCTTAGGTCATTATCACTTTCAGACAATCTAATTTCTGGTTCAATTCCAAACTCAATTGGACGATTATTGTCGTTGGAGATATTAGATCTACGTATTAACCAACTAAATGGCAGCCTTCCTGAAAGCATCGGTTTACTTTCAAAATTGGAATTTTTAGGATTTTCTTACAATTTGCTGACGGGTGTCGTGACTGAAGCTCACTTCGCAAAACTAGCAAGACTGAAAGTTTTATGGGGAACCGGCAACAACTTGGTCCTAAGACCGCGCGTTGCAAACTGGACTCCCTCTTTCCATCTGCAGACATTGGGTTTAAACTCTTGGGATTTAGGTCATCAATTTCCATTGTGGCTACAATTTCAGAGGAATTTAATAAGATTGGAATTAATCAACACAAGCATTTCATCAACCATCCCTGAGTTGTTTTGGAGATCAATCCCCAATCTAGAAACTTTAAAAATGTCGCAAAATAATTTCCAAGGAAGGTTGTTTGGTTTCCCTGCATCACTTGCAGTTATCGACTTAAGCTCTAACAACTTTAGCGGGCCATTACCACAACTCCCAAAAAGTTCTTCTGTGAATACCCTCGATCTATCAAATAATTCCTTTGTGGGATCTTTACATCATTTGTTGTGTCTCTATGGTGGGGAAAGCCTAGATTTTCTTAATCTCGCAAACAATCAACTATCGGGAGTCATTCCTAAGTGTTGGGTGAAGTGGCCGAATTTGTCATTCTTAAACTTGGACAACAACAATTTTTCTGGTGTCATTCCAAGAACATTGGGATCTTTATCGTCACTAGGAACATTGAACATGTGCAACAACAAGCTCTCTGGAAGATTGCCCGTTTCTCTAAGGAACTTGAAGAACTTGGAGATCCTTCAACTTGCTAGAAATGAACTTGCTGGAAGAATTCCAACATGGTTTGGGAGAGAACTCTCAAGTTTGAGAATTCTCAACCTTCGTTCAAACAAATTTGATGGAGATATTCCTCGTGAGCTATGTGATCTTACTGTGATTCGGATCTTGGTCCTCGCTCATAATAATCTATCAGGAAATATTCCAAGATGTTTCAACAAATTCGATGTCCTCTCAGGGAAAGATACTACCCCAGATGGTCGAATCTTTACTTTATCGAGACTTGGGACAGACCTTTTGGGTAGTGCCTCTTTGGTTACCAAGGGACGAGAGGACACTTATAGCACTATTCTTAGACTAGTGATGATATTGGACCTTTCTAGTAACAATTTTTCTGGGCACATCCCAAGTGAGCTGATGACTCTTCAGGCATTACAATCTTTGAATTTATCAAGAAATCAATTGACAGGAAGGATTTCAGAGAATATTGGAGATATGAAATCACTTGAATCTTTTGATATATCTCTGAACCAACTTTCTGGGGAACTTCCTATGAGTTTGTCAAGCTTAAGTTTCTTGAGTAGCTTCAATGTGTCCTACAACAATTTGACTGGAAGAGTCCCATCAAGCACGCAGCTTCAGGGCTTCAATGAGTCCAGCTTCTTCGGAAACCAACTCTGTGGAGATCCACTAACTAGACGTTGTAGAATTGAAGTACCTGATAGAGACGAACAAGAAGATCATGATGGTTCGCATGGAACAGAATGGGGATTGATTATTAGCACAGTGTCTGGATTTATTGTTGGTTTTTGGGTTGTCTTGGCTCCATTGTTAGTTAGCACATCATGGAGGATTACATATTTCAGTTTCTTGAGAGATATGTGGTATAAGTTTTATGATTTTATTCGTAAATACTGCTGTAACATGTTTCCTAAATGATAAAGGATGACATGATATTGTAATCTTATTTATTCACTTTCAAGAAATAATAAATGTTTCTTAAAAAAGCAACAAGCTTGTATTCCTAACGACTATCGAGGGCCTAACCTCCTTAAATTTGTTAGGAAATTTATTTAACATGTCGACTTCGGATAAGATGACAATAAGGACCACAAATGTGGAAAATTACATGTTTAAGAAGGAAGATTTAAACTGCAAATCTTATTACATTAACCATCATGATGGCAATAATTACTGAGGCGATAGTAGAAATGCACAATCTTTCTCAATTGGGTGGCATGTTAAAGAAACACTTACGATAAGTAATACGAATCTTGAACCACACTTTGTAGAGAAAATAGAAGTAAGCACTTCTCCATACTTTGTTGGCAATCAGAGGAGCAACCACAGCCCAGAACGCAATTATAAATCCGACCAAAATGCTGATGATAAATCCCCAGTCCACTCCATCACCATTTACTTCTCCACTTCCTCTATTTGAGACCTTTTTCTTGTTGCATACCTCTGCAAGTGGAGGACCACAGAGTGTGTTTGCCATGAAACTGGATTCATTGAAGCTCTGGAGCTGAGTACTTGTTGGGATTTCTCCAGTCAATTTGTTGCAAGATATGCTCAACCAACTTAACTTTGTCAACCTAGACATGCTCCAAGGTATCCTCCCATCAAGCTGGTTCACAGACAAATCAAGAGATTCAAGTAATGCCATATTACCAATCGCCTCGGGAATTCTTCCCGTTAAATGATTTCCTGACAAATTTAACCAGCGCAAGCCTAAGAGTCCCACAAGTTCCTTGGGAATGGGGCCGGAGAATTTGTTACCTGAAAGATCCAATGTTGTAACCAAATATAGAATAGTGCTATACTCAAACTCTCTTCCTTTAGTCACCAATGATGCACTGCCAAGAACTTGCACCTGAAATGGCAAATCATATAGCACAATTTCACTTGAATTTTGCCTTCCGGACATGAGGCTGAAGTTGTGAAAACATGTTGGGAGGGTTCCTGAAAGATTGTTATGGGCAAGATCCAAGATCTGGATAGAAGTAAGGCGACAAAGTTCATCTGGGATTTCACCTTCCAACTTGTTTGACCTGAGGCTGACTAGTTTCAACTTTGTTTCTTCTCCATCTATCAACAGCGGTATGCTTCCAGTGAATTCATTCTCAGCAAGATCAATAATTTGTAAGCTTTTCAAATTCAACAGAGATGCAGGTAGTTTCCCAAAGAGCTTGTTATTGCGGATGTCGAGTGATTGGAGGGAAGATAAGCTCCCAACAGATTGTGGAAGTTCTCCAGAAAGACCATTGTTCTCAAAGTTTACAACTGATAAAGCTTGCCAATTCGTCCAACAATCTGGGATAATACCTGACAGATTGTTGTTGGCTAGATCGAGAACCTTAAGTTGTCTATCTTTTTTTAAACTAGGACACAAGAACATCTCAAGAGATCCTGAAAGATTATTGTTTGAAACATCAAGAAGAAGAATGTCAACTTCGTTGAATGTTCCAGGCAACGGGCCTTCAAATTGGTTGTCACTAAGATCTACTACTGCCTCTGGTACAAGGATACTAAGATTTCCTATCAACATCCCTCGGATATTGTTATGAGACACATTCAAGAATAAAATATCAGAAAATGAGATCCAAAACCAACTAGGCACGATGTCTGAAATTCCTGCATTGGCTATGTCCAAATTCATCAAGTTTCTTTGTGACTGAAGCCATGATGGGAAATTAGGGCCTAAATTCCAAGAACCTATTCTCAGGATATCAAGCTGGAAAGGAGGAACCCAATTATCAACACTTAGTTCTAGAGTTAACATGTTTGCATCTGCCCATAAAGTCTTCAAAGACGTGAGATTCGTAAAGTGATCTTCGGTTAAAACTCCTGTTAACGAATTGTGATGGACACTCAAATATGTCAATTTTCCTAGTTGACCTACACTTTCAGGTAGAGTTCCATTGAAATTATTGAAAGAAATCTCTAACCATTCCAGTGATGTTAAGTTTCCAAGTGAATCGGGGATCAGACCAGAAATGGAGTTAACATTAAGTATCAACTTCCTTAAGAATGACAATCTTCCTAAAGAATCTGGAAGTGTACCAGAAATATGATTGAATGCAAGATCAAGAGTAACTAGATTTTGAAGTTTTCCTAGTCTATATGGTATAGAACCAGAAAATCCGTTTGTAGAAAACCCTAAATGCTCCAACTTAGGTGATTTACATTCAGAGAAACTATTTATAATCTCTGATATACTTCCGCTAATGTAATTATCTCGGATTTCGATGTAAATCAAGTTGCAAAGGTTGCCGAATGAATTCGGAAACGTCTCCACAATTTGATTTCGTGCCAAGTCGATACTAACAAGGGAAGTCATATTCTGAAGACCACCTAGAATTGAAGTTGAAATATTGCAGGTACTAATATCTAGGGACACAAGACCAGTTAGGCTCAACAACCCCCTCAAAACCAAAAACGAGTTCATAAAATCGTTTTCAGGAACAAGAAGAAACTTTAGATCAGTCATGTTATGAAAACCACCAGCATTACCAGGAGATGGACCATGAAGAAAGCAGCTAGACAGATCCAGAGAAACTAGCTTATTCAGAGTAAAAATCCACCCAGGCATCAAACTATCGAAAATGTTATACGAAAGATCGAGGATGGTAAGTGAAGTAAATTTAACTTCTGATAAACGATAAGGGATTTGAGAAAGATGGCATGAAGACAAGTGCAATTCCACCAAAGACGGAAGGGTGTTGATCACTTGAAGCCAATTGGAAACACTTCTAAGATCATAACCAGACATATCTAGATGTTGCAACAAAGGGAGACCAGACAACCAATCTAGACTCTTAATGCGAACATTACCTAGCCACCGCCCCTCTCTGAGATCAAGGGCAACCAACATGGACAAATTCCCCAGTTGGTAAGGAACTGGACCATAGAATTGTGACATTGAGAGATTCAGATATTCCAAGTTCTGAAAAGAGCCAAAGAAACTAGGAATTCGGGTAGCTTCAAAATCGTTGCAGCTCAAATCTAGATACTTGAGTTGTTTCAACGAAAGCAGCGAAGGGTTTATTTTTCCTGCTAGCATTTGAATAGATACTTCTTCAAGTTCCGGATCAGGTCCTCGAAGGTGAAGCTCTTGGACATGACCGGTGAAGTTATCACAGACAATTCCATACCATCTACAGCAGCCGATGTTTGCAGTATTCCATGAAGCGAGCCGGTTGGCACCATCTATGAGATCGTGCTTAAACTGCAGAAGTGCCAGTCTCTCGCTCTCAATGCACAAAGCGCGCTTTGTCCTGCCATCACACACACGATTTGAACACAAAGCCAAAACAATTAGAAGCCAAAAAAGCATAAAAGATTTCATATGAAGTGCTTAGGCCAATTATAGAAACGATAATAAAAGATGTTCTCAAGTTCTGCATGTGTTTGATACACACTCCCACACACACACACATATATATAGCCAATATATGAAGGGAATAACTAGGTAGAGATATACCATATATGTCAATATTTATCCACTTGCATAGCTAGACTAATTCATTTGGACGCAATTGTCAAAAAGCATTGACCTAAAACATCCGAACGATCAAAAGATAGCTAGAATCCAACATATTTCGATACTTACGATTTCTTGAAAATAACCTAAAAATCTTGAGCTTTATCTTACATTCAACCTTTCGATACACCTAACAAATTCCATTGGTCCAAAAGAAATCGATCAGGAAAATTCTTAGTGACGCCAGGATAATAATTATATGTTAATATTTACCACCAATAAGATTGGATTATACAGGGGCTTTATCATTTTAGAACTTCAAAGTTTGTGAGATCCAGTGATAACTTGTACCTTAAAGTTTTGTTTCATATGATTTTTTTAGTCTAAAAAAAATACTGATAATCTGTTGAAAATGCATGCTTACATTCATGATTTCATTAGTTAGTACGTGTTGTTTGGGTTCTTTTTTTATTTAAAAAAAGAGCGTAAACTGTGTCAAATGTCAATTTGTTGGGTTTTCGTATTTTCTTTGAAGATGGTAGAAAAAGAGATGGGTGGTGGGAGGAGATGGTTGACGGAGCAAACCACGGTGGTCGTATAACTACGGCGGAGACCCCACTTCTGCTACCTCTTTTTCCGAGAGGAAAACATCCCTCATTTGCCATGACTTTTGAACATAAAAACAAACACATATATTTCTTCCAAAAGATTCGCAGACACATAAATGCAATTGACGTGTTGCATGTTGGGCCTCAATTTGGGTTTGATCTGGTCCAAGTCCACTTTATTGTATTTATATTATATTATAAAATATTTGATAAAAAAATTTAACAACTATTTTTTATACACGAAATACTGTTTATTGATGTATGTTACTTAAAGTTCAAGATTACAAGTAAATTATGCGTAAGTACAACTTATTAAAGCTCCATGTTTGAATTTGTGTAACTAACTGCAGAAAAACATGATCAAATACATGATAAACATCTCATTTTAAATATAAAAGATTTAAAATATAATTAGAATAATTATTGAGTTTTACCCGAATACTTGATTATTATCTTTATAAAAACTTATATTATTAAACCAAAAATTAAAAATCAATACCATATTTTAAAACATTTGGTAAAAACTCTTAAAAACCATTTTTTTATGCATAAAGTATTGTTTGTTGATGCATATTACTTAAAATTCAAGATTACAATGCGTAAGTACAACTTATTAAAGCTTTGTGTTTGAATTCGTGTAATTAACTGCAGATAAACATAATCGAATAGAGGATAAATATCTCATTTTAAATATAAAAAATCTAAAATATTAATTAGAATAATTATTGACTTCTAACAAAATACTTGATCATTATCTTTATAAAAAAATATTATTAGACCAAAAATTAAAGAAATACAAAAAAAGGAGAAATTTTAAATAGTTAGTTTGGTACTAATATCAATATATTTTTCAATTTTTTTATGATATCTTCATATTTATATTTTATTCAAAAATAAAAACATTATCGTTTTCTCAAAACCACATAACTATAACATCGACTGAGATAAAGAAAGAAATAAAATGAAATATTAAAATCAATATGTATCTCGCTACATTGTGCGAGTACCCCTCTAGTTCATATTAATACATTTACAAGTAATTCATTTGAAGTTTTAAAGACCGACCAACGACGGACTTAAGATTTTTTCCAGTATGGTGGATTAAAGGCCGTAAAGTTGATCGATATGTTTTTAATCGAATTCCATTGGACTTTTTGAGCTTTTTTTTGGTTGATTTAGAGGTTTTTTTGGGTGATCCAAGGGACTTCTTTGGTTGATTTCAATATTTTTTTGGATTTTTTCCTGATTTCGAGACACTTATTTTATTTTAATTTTCTTGATTGTTCCTTGTATTTTTTTAACTTCTCGGAGCATTCCTTAAAGTTTAGCATATGCAACTTTCATATCGTAAAAATAATCTACTCCCGAAAATCGGTTGAAGGGTTACATGAGACCCCGTTTGGCTTCACATATCCACCCCTGTTTATTACGACTAAAGTCGATGGACCATAATTCGGATTACGCGATGTATTATGACCCAACACATGATCTGCTTCGATCCATTATATTTTTTTTGGGTAAATTTTTTTAAACCAATTTGAAAATGCAAATGTATATATGTAACTACAATGTGTTCATGTTTGTACCAACTACAGGATTTACCCCTTTGAAAATTCAAGTGAGAACATAGAATTTAACTGAAATACTACAAACACAGGATTTTAAATTCAGTTTAATCTCATGTTTGGTTTGTTGGATTTTTTGGATTTAAAATCCTAGGATTTAACTGAAATGCTTCAAACATAGCATTTTGAAATACTTGTATCTCATATTTGAAGTCTTCAATGTCTTTCACATGCATGAAGCTTCCTATGTTGATGTGTTCTTAAACGATGATTTCATACATTTTAGTCCTCTAGCTACAAGGTAGTACGTAGCAAAAGGTCAGAGAAAACAATGCAAGTGCCAACAAGTTGTACCAAAGATGGAGGTATAAGCTTTATCACCCTTATAACAAATTCCTTTCATTTCACTATTCTGGTTGTTCCTTTTTGCATTTATATTTCTATTGATTCCATATTTGAGAGTTTCTCATAGCACTTGCTCATTTTATTGCTTCAGTTGTTTCCTTCAAGTTCAAGGTATTTGATGTGGATGTGAGGATCTACAAAATTGGTGCCATCTTTGTTCATTAATGTTGCATATTGGGCCTCATATAGGTTTTGATCCATTATACTTTTTGGATAAATTTCTTAAACCAATTCGAAAATGGAAAACACACACATAATTAATATATATATATATATAGAGAGAGAGAGAGAGATGAACGTTCAAATGAAAACCGCCTCCATTTGTGTAAACCAATCTCATCCATCCATTTTATTGATCAATGGTCAAGATTAGTTTACTTTATTTGAGGAAATTAAAAAAATATTTATTAAAAATTTTATTTTTATATCAGCAACAAGGACAAAATGGTAAACAAAAATACATATTCTGTAACATCCTATTGAAGGACATTATTCTTTATTTTAGGAAATTAAAATTTTTCATTTGTTAGAAAATAATTTCACTAATGCAGTAGCCTTTTTATTCTTTATCATGAAATTGTTTCAATGTCCTTCACACACCCATGTAAATATGCACCCTATTCATTATGAAATTATTTCAAGATGCACCAGTTTCATCATGAATCCATTTTAGCATGTAATTATTTCATGACAAACCGCATACATTATGCACCCATTTCGTTTTGCATTTCACCTACTAAATTGATCAACTACACCATCACTGAAACGGGGTTCACCATCAAACCAGTTCACTACTCATTGTTCAATTATGCCATGAACTAGTTTCACCTTCATGAAACTTGTTTCATGTACATAGATTAATTTATTTCGCTCCTGATTTGATGAATTCATTCCTTTAATCCTCATAATCTTAAAGATTCTGTAGCAGATTACAATCTTCAAGATTATGGAACAGATTCATCATTCAATTATTTCATGACGAACCAAATACATTATGCACCCGTTTCATTTTCCACTTCACCTACTAAATGGATCAACTACACTATCAATGAAATAGGTTCACCATGAAAATGTTCCACTACTCATTGTTCAATTATGACATGAACCAGTTTCACTTTCTTGAAACTTGTTTCATTTGCATTAATTTCTTTTTTCAATCATGATTTGATGAATTCATTACATTATGTCTTACAATATTCAAGATTCACCAGCAGATTCAATCGCATCACAATATATTTAGTTCAAATTTTAAAATTATAATATAATTAAATATTTAAATGTTACCATTTATAAAATTTACTTTATTACATTTCCTTAATTAAGATTTATTAATAATTTTCATATTTAATTGAAAATATTGTAAATGACCGAAATACCCTTATTGATTAAATTTAATTAGAAAAAAAAATGAAATTTTCCTATGAAATTAGTTTACACGGTTTCTTAGAAATGCACGGTTTTCATTTGAACGTGCCCTTACATATATATATATACACACACACACACTTGGGATTATTTGATACCAATGGTTTTTCGTGAGACCCGTAAGACCAATTCTCAACCCTTKGATTAGATCTACAATCTGAACATTCATAAACGTCACGAGACTTCTCAATAATCACAAAACTGTCACCATGCAACTTTAGACCATTAGATCATTAGCTTATAAAGTTGATCAATGAACATAAATTGGTCTTACGGGTCTCACAAAAAACATTTGGTCTCACATGAACCCAACCCTATATATATAGAGAGAGAGAGAGGTTCATTTGAGAAGCGGTAAGTATATATTTAAGAAATAAATAAGTGATCCTAACCTTTCATATGGTCAAGATTAGTCGAGAATTATGGTTTTGACTGGTTAAAGATTTACGGCTTTGACTGGTCAAGATTTGCTGCTTTGATTGGTCAAATGAAAAATAGAGAGGAAGTTTCGTAACTTGTATGCAGAGATCTTTCTTCAAAATTCTTGGTCTTGCAGGTTGGTGACCTTGTAATCCCTTGTATTATTCATAATCATGTTGGTTTTCACTCTTCGGAGATTTACTTCGCTACACTCCGACATAAAAAATGCTACAAAATAGGCGGCAAACAAGTGCACATGTGAACTATAGTTCATATGTAGATCAGTTAATTCAAGTGCGAGTACACTTCCATTGTGCAAATAACATATTTAATATTCTGTAGCATTCAAAGTCGTATAGGAATTCACCAAAAGTAGTATGATTTGAAAATGTAACTGCAATCTTGAGGGCCAACTCTGCCTAGAAATAAATCTCACACCTTGGGGTCCTCTCCATAGATCACCAATTTGAGAGATTTTCCTGGGGATTAGTCGAGCCACATACAAGCTGGCTCAGACATCAACAGTTACCAAAGAAGACGAAGATGCAATTGCCATATTAAAGACTGAATGAAAGATGGCAACAACATGATGGGTTGGTGTAGCTGCCATATAAGAGAATTTACCATCTTATATAAACTTATGCAACAATATATTTAAAGAGTTGTATAACAGAATTAATGTACCATACAAACTGACCAGAAACATTGATCTGCTGTATGGTGGAAGATATATTTGGGGAAGAAAGATTGGATTTTGTATGTTACATACACACAAGCTAAAGTTCAATCTACAAACTTGATCAATCAAAAGGGTCGATTCGTGGATCATGCTCACTTGCCATAGCCATTCCTGTACAAAGACAAGTTGGACACATAACCTGCAAAATTAAGTTCAAACATGCATTAAGATTCAAAATCTAACAATTTCCTTTTCCAGATGTCCCATGAAAGTTTCAGCGTTTTCTTTTTTTAGAATGTTTCAAGGTAAAATTACTTGTTCAATTCATTGTCAGCATTAAAATACCAAACGCTTACTTTTCCTGCACCCGAACAGTTTGAACATCTTTCAGTTTTAGGTGGAGATAGAGGTTGATTTCCGCCATTAGCAGATGCAACTGGGTCAATAAGAACAATTGCCCCTGTGCTAGCACAGCGAGCACAAGCTAGATAGCCTGTATCAGATAACATGATCAATGAACTCTCAAAACTGACATTCTATGGTTCACTTGTTAAGTAATTTGATAAATTCCTTACCTGTTCCTAGACAATACTTGCATCTTTTATGCTCCTGCTGTTTTACGTTGTTTATTTCAACCACCATCAAGGCTGAAATCACTCCAACTGCTCCGCCAGAGAACGATGCCACGATAGGGTCAACCTCGCTAAATTTGTGCATCAAAAGGAAACCTCATTGGAGCAAGCAGAAGCATAGGTGTACATTATCAATCATATATTAGTAGCATGTGATTGATTTCTCACTTCACATCTAACTCTTTTAACCAGACAATGAAGAAGATTTGTTTCTGCTTTTAAGATGTTCTTGACAGAACAGAAAGAATCGATATGGCACAGAACTAAATTATACAAGAAAATTAACCAAGAGCCAATTAGTCGTAGTATCTTTCAGAGATCCAACTGGTCACACATCATATGAACAGGAATGGTGATAGAAGATTATGTAAATATTCTAGCACTCTCTCGGTACGGCAGCAAGGCAGATTCACGAGATTTAAAATTTGAGAGGATAACAATTATTATTATTATTCAACATACTCCTTCCTCTAAAAATTGGAACAATTTTCTACTTTGGGATGTCAATGGAAATGCAATGCTTACTATTGAGTGAAAATTTTGAGATATATTATATAAATGCTTATTTGCTCCCTCTTACCATTACCATCTATTATTAATATTGATCCATTAGATTCTCCCGTTTATCATTATTATAAGGTGTTTTCATAGTCAGAAACTTCTATTACACTAAGAGTCTAGTCAAACTTAATAATAATAAAAAAGGTGGGAGACCATATGATATGCAATTATGCATCTAGCTGAACAAGATACTGTATTCAAAATTACCAAGTCGATAAGAAGTGCAATAAAATGACATTTTGGCCTATGTATACCTCAACTGCATTGGAAGATGCATGCTAGAAATAAAATCCGCATACGATGTCCCTCCTATTCCCAATTTCAACTCCAACTGAGATGAGAAATCATAAGAAAAAGTAAGGCAAGGAGCTACATAAACTTCATATCTTTTTAAATATAAGCACAATGTGTTCAAAGTCTCTGTTTCTTCTAATAATGTTGCTACTAGCTTAATGAAATATGGTCCTTACCGATGAAAGTTCTCTGGGATAATCTACTTTATTACAAGGCACAGGATGAGACTTGAGAGGTAGTACCTTGGTGAAACTGTAATCTTAACTATGGACAACATGATGAACCTAATTAAATGTTTTAATGAAATCTTGCTGCATCTTTTGCTACCCATATCTCTAGATGACCATATCATGTTTTAAGAAAGAGGTAATATAATTTTCTAGGTGTCATAACACACAAATAGTACTTGTTCTTCCCTAATGTATTTTCTAGTTCTTAAAAGCCTCGAGGCTACATAAGGAACTCCGGTTACTTCCTCCTTTTGGAACAAAGCCATAACACAAAGCAAAGTAAGCAACTGTGAGCATTTCGCGTCTGACAGAAGATAAGAGAAACAATTGAAGGAACAATGGCAACAGGAATGGCTAACAGAGGTCAATACATCTTGCGTTGAAGAGCAAAGCTTATTAAATATTATAATGGACATAACAAAGGGCATATAGCAAAAGGGGAGAATGGAAGAAGGAAAAACCACAGGAACTGGTCAAGATTATTAGTTGACACATAACCCAATCATTATACTATACATCAGTACATGTATTGTATTTTTATATCACAAAACAAAAGAACTTACAGTAGGTGCCAGGAGACCTCCGAAAATGATAATTCCAGAAATAAGAGAAAAGCAGGTGGCATAGTATTGTTTGAGATTTGCAGAGGACTGCAGAAAAATAAGTTAAATCTTAGTTACAGAATGAAGAACTAATAAAGAAAACAAAAACATGGAAGAAACCAATGACTGAGCTTCCCATGTGACTAATTACATAAGGATATACAATAATACTGCCACTAGCATCAGAAGTCAATTAATATGCTCTGGATATCAATGAATTAAGAGAAAATTATTTACCAGAGGAGGCAAGAAGGGGATGAATGATGGAAAATTTGGAAGTTCGCCATCTTGTTCTTCCTCTGGGATTCCAAGTTCGGCACTTTTTATTCTCTGTTGTATCCTTAGGCGGCGAACCTGAGAAAAACATGAAATTGCGTTGTACTTATAAACAAAAAGACTCACCTAAAAAGGATGTGTTAAAATAATAAGAAGTTGATTGACATCTTCACATGAAAGGGTGCAACGAGTAACATGTAATTACCAAGCAAAAACCTCAAGGAATTAATTTGATTTAGAGAAGAACTCTACATGTATTAACAATGCAGATTTGAAGGAGGGAATTTGAAATGAGTAGGAACCATTCAAGGGATTCAACTCAATCAATGACTCAATGTAACTGGAAGGTAAAAACAGTCTTCATGATCTTTCAAAGCACTGTCCTTAGTTGTTACAGTATTTGTAGAAGTGCCTCTAGAAGTTTCATTGCAACACATGACATAATGAAGTAGACTTGCAAACCATTAATGGTAGCTTTATGAGATATTGACATATTGAGCAAGTTTTGTGTGTCCGAATCCAGATGAAGTCGAGTCCATGACTAGAATGTTACAGTAGAATTAGGAAGTTCAGCATTAACAAGTTTTCTTCGTCTGATTTTGTTAAGCCATTAATATGTTTTTCAGGAGTTCCCAACAAGTTGCAACCAAAAGTTAGTACACCCCCATCAATGCTCTTATGAACATCAATCATCTATGAAAACCAGATCACATCGCAATTGGAGAATTCCCGCAATATTACAAATGAAAAATCTGAGAAACTTGCTCACCTCCTCCATGTGCAAAAATATTTTATTCCGACGACTCCTAATATTATCTTGAATCTCTTGTACATCCATTTTATCGAAATCCTGTACTGTTTCAGGTCCTTCGATTATACAGAACCTGCACCAACAAGTTAATTCATATTATTCAAGGATTCGAATCACCATGTCAACTCAAAGAAAAATTACAGCGTGTAGCCAGATAAGTTCCACCAATTACATCTGTAGAGTAACAAATTTGAGAGAACAAGACAAATACAATAACACAGCATAAGCTGCAATCTCAACAAAACACCTTGATTACTCCAAATCAACTACTAATCAACAATTAGAACTGTGTAATTTTGGTGGACAAGAAAAATTAATTTGCACATGAAAAAAAAAAGCACAAGTGATTACCCTGCAGCGTTTTTCTCGGCTGAATCAGCATCAATCGAGGCGGCAGCAGCAGCAGCAGCAAACTTAGAAGCATCTGGATCAGACGACATCAATCGCCATCTGACAGTAGATTTTAGGTTTCGACAAAGATACCTCGAGTTATGATGTGCAGCCGGAAGATGAGAAGAAACCGACGGCGTTAGAGGGTACGAAACATCCAGTATCCGAGCCGAACATACCATCTCCTCCGATTATCAGTCGCCCTAACTAGCTTCACTCTCTGGCATATGATTTATCGTTGTCTCTCACACACAGTGGTGTGTGTAGTACTGTAGTTAATGGTTGCAGGTAGCGACAATAGGGAATCGAGAGGGTGGAGCAACATATGCAGCATTGGTGAGCACCGGATCTTTGTTAGAAGAAGGTAGGTTTATTGCCACGTGTATGGGCATTATTCCTTTTCTTTAATTGTTTATTTAGGTGTAAATTGCAGAAACTACCCTACATTTCTATCAAATTGACAAATTGCACCCTGAATTTCTACAACTTGATCTTAATCCCCAATTTTAGTGGATTTTTGTAGCACGTTCCAATTTTTTTGCGACCATGTTATATTTGTTCTTGATATCATATGTATCTTTATTAAACGTCCATAAGTCATCTACTCTACATGAGTATGCATTGCAAAACTTATATAATATTAGGGGGTGAAACCACAAACTTCAAAATTGAGGGGGTTAATTGTCATTTCATATAAATCCAAAATTCTTTAATGGATAATTGATATAATGTAGAAATTGAAATATTTGATGAAGGATTGGTGGAAGAATTATGTGGACTCCAACACTAAATCCAACAATGGGTTTGGATATTTGAGGTACCTTTCAATTCATTTCAATTATTAGATGGATGATGTTTTAAGGATGGACCCAATAATTTTTGGATACGAAGACATTATATAAAACGATTGCATCTTCTAGAATAAAATGGTTGTATTTTTCACGAACCTAATTTTTTTTTACCTTACCACGGAGGAACAATACGGTGGCACATGCCACCTAACCACTCCTTTAGGTCCATCTATGGTTTCAAAAGTTCAATGGATATGTTTATTGGTTTTGTTCTAAATGATTTATTTATTTTTGTAAGCAAAAAAAGGCATGTTTTAGAAATTATCATATTATTAGTTCTGTATTTGTACAATATGATGGGATGTAAAATGTTAATTAAGATTTGATTAATTTTGAAATATCAAATTCTTTCAAAATATCATAAAGTCTACTACATTTTTAGCTACATTAAATTCAACCATCCATCCATGATGTCAGTACGTGATTAAAACAATTTAAATTAAAATTGTTAGTAATAAATAATTACTTGCGCCTGGCTGAAACTAAGCTCCATTAAAAACTGAACAAGATCAACAATAAAAACCACAACCAAATTTTGAAATTCACTTTGTAAGATCCAACCTGACATAAAATGTTTGTGAAAGAAAGTATGATTAAACGCTATGATACAACTTAATTGTACAAATGTTTTAAGCAACTAAGATCTAAGCATATTAAGCACCTGAAGAGCTGTAAAAAGCAACCATGGAAGCGATTATGACGACTTGGTTCCTCGGGCAACACAGATTGAATGCAGAAAGCAAAATTTCAATAACACTCGTGCAAATATTCTTGTAATTATACAAACTCATGACGTACAAAGTAGGAGGAGCTATGAGAAGAAGAGAAAAAAGTCAGGTATTGATATTTTGTAAAATGACAAGGTATAATGGACCAAAAACAATAGCATTTGATTGTTGTGTTTTTTTGGTTTCAATAAGAGGTTTGGAGGTAGATACATCATCTAACGTCGAACACCAAACCAAAGGAATCACTTGAAAGGGATTTAGCCCAGTAAACTAAATGAAACAAGACCAACCCTGCATATCCATTCGAGAATAAACCAAACGAAACCAATATATCCCACTTGGAAATAGGGATATTATGGCCAATAAACCAAACTAATCCAACAAATCCCACTCGAAGGTAGAGATCTTATGGGCAATGAGCGCATCAATCATGTCTTATGTCAGTGTTTTCATAACCAACTCTTGTGATAGAAGGAACTCACTAGAGTTTTGGTCTAACCCTCGTTTTTATAAAAAAACTAAAAACCTTTTCATGAAGCTACCAAGAAAGGAGTATTAGCAAAAGGAAGGGAAAGGTGTGATCCTCGCGGATTAAAATACCTCCTCGTTAGGTAGTCATTTAGATTTGATTAGATTCCCGTAAGAATCTCAGCTGTAGCGATGTTATAATTTTTTTTCGCTATAACTTGTGAGGTAGAGTTGAATTGTTGTACTTTATTCAGTATTCATACTTGCCAGTTGAGCAATTCTTCTGTTATGGATATTTAGGATTTGTAGATGCTACAATATTATTAAAATGACATCATAAGAAGACGATTTACATTAAAATGACTAAATTGCAAGGAAAGAGAAAAAGACTATATAAGATCATTTAAAAACCAAAAAGACACTATATTATACGTAGATTCATATTACAAAAAGAATTTTGACCCCAAACTAACATAGATCACAAGAAACAACTGCTTCGTTTATACTTGCCTATCGAAACTCGTAACCCGCAACCAGTGTTCCACCCAATAAAATCAACCTCATGGTTCCATGGCCCTTATAAAACCAGAAGCACAAAGTGGTAAAACGAGGATGTATTAAAAGGCTACATGACTTCTTTTGATTCCAACTAAACCAGCGAGACCAAGAAGAAGTGATCAATTAAGATTAAAGAGTAAAAAAGTCGAGAAAATGTATATTTTACAAAAATAAGTGCACCGATTGTTTATAACAAGTGTGTCTTCGACAAATTATTTATGAACTTTTTAAAACAAACAATAAAAAGTCAAAATATCTAAAAAAATTATATTTAATTTAAATTGATTCTTTATTTTAGAAAACTTCAACATCAACTGTATTATTAAAAATATTTTATGATTTTATTATTCCAATACATTTAAAAAATCTTATATAAAAATTAATATTTGAATTTTTAGAGAATTATCTATATTTAAAAAAAATTCAGATTTTTTTATTTTAAAAGACAAAATAGTCTGGAATTTTTTTTTTGTAAAATAAAATATTTGAATATATATTGGATAATTTAAGAATAAAAATAAAATAGATTGGGTGTTTGAGATTGATTATTTGAAACAACTTATATTTTTTCTACAAAAACGTTATCAACTTATTATAAATTAGAATGGTTTAACTTATTCAAAAATTTATTGTTACCGGTATAAGTTGTTTATCCAAACATTCAAAAATGTTTATTACCGGTGAGGCGGTGATACACGAGAATAAATTAATAAGTTGTTTTTATAAGCAATCTCAAACACCCCTCAAAACTACGTTGAAAAAATTAATTTTTATAGAATTAAGGGGTAAAACCGTAAAATGCATAGATTTAATCCGCGGTTAAACGGTAACGGAAGACAATGCTTCGCCGCAAACCAAACAAAAACCCTAATTTCAACCCTATTTAATCCCTCTCCACCTCCTATCAGCAATCACGCCACCATCGCCTCCTTAACTCAAATCTCTTTTGCTACTTCTTTCCCTACCATCTGTTCTATGAGATTTTCTTCTGTAATGGATTGCAGCTAGATTGAGGAAGATCGCAATGACGACTTGCAAAATTCAAGCTCAACAGACCGGAATGCAGGCTTAGCTCTTTATAGAGATTCGTTTGCGTGTCGATATTCCCGCTGAACTGAGCGATCTTCTCGTTCAATCTTTCCATTGATCTTTTTTCATTGATTTTTGTGTGTGTGTTAATTTGTGTTTGTGATTGACTTGATACACGATTGATGATTGATGTTTATGTGGAATCGAAGTGGATTACAATGAGGATAAAAAGCTCCCTCTTCTGAATTAGTCTGAGGAAACTTTGCAGGCAGAATCGAACCTAATTAACTATCATGCCATCTGAGTAATCCACTTCTCCATTTTCATCATTAACTCTGTCTAAATTCATCTTATTTTATACGTTCTGATATGGTTTTGATGATTTTCAAAGAATTTAATCGTGATTTATGAAGTTTGATTGTCTGTTGTTACTTTTCCAAGTTCTAATCTGAAAATTCCTATCAATTTGTCATTGTTTACCTTAAGATTGCTGTGACGACTTAGTAATATTCAAGCTCAACAGACCGGAATGCAGGATCCTTAATTGAATTTTGCGTGTCGATAACCCGCTTACTGAGCAATCAATATTCACTTGTGAATCAGAATAAGTAGTTTTATGTTTCTTATTTTGGTTTTGCTTTTATGTTGTAATTATTGGGACTTTTGTTCATATCAGAAGTCGTAATGAGATGATGATGAAGCAAATTCTTAATTCCAACACTTGGACTGAGAAATTAAATTTCAAGAGATGTGAAAAGATGCTTCTGAGTCTCATGTTTTTGTTCTTGTTTCTTATATATGAATGATTCAAAGCTTCTGCTTCAGAGTTTTGTTGTTGTTGTGTTATCAGTGATGATAAATTAATTCAATCTTAGGACACCATTGGACACAACTTTTAGTTGTGGGTGAGAATACAATTTTTCTGATGATGATGACACTTCATAGAAGCATATCTTTTTAGTTGTATTTGGGATTGTTTATTTGAAACAAGTTGTGCATTTCTACAATAACATTTATGAACTTATTATAAGTGAGTTCAAATACTCGTTATGATCGGTTTGACATCGGTATAAGTTGTTTATCTAAACATTCAAAAGTCTTATTACCGGTACTACATTGGAATAACCGGTACTACATTGGAATAAGTCATTAAGTTGTTTTTATAAGCAATCACAAATAACCCCTAAGAGTTTTTTGTTTATGTCTTTGCAAGCTAACGAATTACGTACCCATTGCTTACTTTTTGCTTGCAGCCGTTCTAACCAAAGTCTGTCACTTCAAGGCTAAATGTTTATATGGAGACGACATTGAAAGTGATTATCGTTTGTGGACTCTGGTTACGTGCATGGGTTTGAGGGGTTAGCAGCATATCTTTTTAGTTGGCCTGAATGACGATAGATAGTGCTGCCTTTGTTTTAATCGTTTTTGTACAAGATCACCACTCATTTTTTATCAGACTTTTGAATCTTTTTGGAGGCCTTGTAAAATTCATAACTTTTGAGGACAACGATGCATATATGTTAAGCACAAAAGGACGTTAATTCTAAACGATCAACAATTTAAACCTAATCTAAAACGTCAATAATTTGAATCTAAACTCAAGCAATTAACAATATGAACATAAATAATTTGGGTTATAGCTCAATCTTTATACAGATTGATGAAAATGCCCTAAACATGTATAAAATTGGGTACCAAAATTGTGGAGACTTTGTTTAAATCTTACATTTAACATGTTAAGGGATAGCCCTGTTTATATTTGTTTGGACCGAAACATACAATGGAATGAAATAAGCAAAACAATCTTGATTTTAATAGAACGATTTTCCAATGCTGTTAGATACAAGTGTAAGTGATCGAAACTGCACTGTACATATATTACAATTTGTTTTATATGAAACATGAAGGGGGTGTTTGTGATTGCTTATTTTAGGTGTTTTTTTGACTTATTTTATTTTGGCACCGATGCTAAGTTAAATGTTAGTGTTTAGATGAGAAAAAATAAAACTGTTTATACCAGTGGCAAACCAGTAATAAACAATTTTTGATAAGTTAATCTTTACTGACTTATAAAATATTGCTTATTATCAGTTTATCATTTTAACCCTATTTTATTAATGTTTGTTAATTGTTAATCTTATTGATATAAATTATTAATCTTATTGATAAATTTTTTTGTCAAAGATATTATTATAAATGATGAAAAATAAATGTTTACATGTTAAAAAATCAAATAAGTTAATAAGCAATCCCAAACACTACCATAAGTCAATAATATGGAAGAATGTCCTTTTTGGTCATTTTACATATATAAACAAAATTTGTCAAACACTAAAAAATAACTTATCAGCTTATTACTTTTTGGTACTGTTATAAACTAATTCAAACACTTTTTACCAAACTCTGGTTTGATACCACATAAGTTAATAAGCACTTTAAAAAAAAAACATAAGTTGTTTTAAATAAGCAATCCCAAACACCCTCTAAATTTTTATTTGTAAATAATATAAACTACTAAACAAGTTGAAGGGGATGTTTACCAAACGCTTATTCGGATAAACACTTATCAAGTTATATTACTTTAACCAATTAATATGGCAAGAACCAAGAATCTTATCTGATAAAAGCGAAGACAACGACCGAGAGTCTTACCTGGTAAGTGTGGACGATGACTCTTACCCAGTTAACGGTTACCGGGTAAATTTTTGCATATAATGCCGTTTTAATGGAATAAAATCTTACCCGATAAGACAAATGATGATGTTGAATTTAAGTATTTGGATAAACGACCCCTAAGTAGATATTTCAACGGAAAAGTATAATTTTAATTTCAATCTTTTAAATTTATCCTTGATTAAATTATTTTCAAAACTAATGAAATGTATCACTTTTAAGGAAATTGATAATGTCATTGATGCAAAAAGTGATGATGGATAACTTTGACATCAAACTTTAATAAATTACACTTGTGAGGAAGACCTTAAACAATTTTGGGTTTTTATGTTGTAGACAGTTATAATAAGTCATACACTTATATTCCAGAAATACAGAATCAAAGAAATTCCAAGGTCTAATTACTAAAATAGAATAAGCTAGAAATCCGAGCTCTAAATGATTAATTTTTTTTATTATTGAAAATCTAGGACTTGAGAGTTCTTATAGATCTAATTCATTGAAATTCCATTCAATAAAATAGAAGAATTATAAATCTCCAAAATAATAGATAGAAATACTGAAAATAAAGGGGTCGTTCCCACCCAGAAGCTACTTTACCATATTTCGAATTCAACTGTTTTAATAAATCTACTACAATAGTTCGTCTTGGACCAGATCTAGAACCATTCTCAACAGTTTGTGTAGCCATAAATCATGTTGATTCATTGAAATTTATTGACTTTGTATACCATCTCGTTGTAAATAAACGATCTTATCATAGATCCATTGTGTTCTTGAAATTATATAATAACTGAAACAACAACCCTAGTCGCCATCRAAGTACTGATGCATTTATAACAATGTGTTGGGATGTGATGCATCGAAATGCATCAGATCAATCTTCGTATCAAGTGCGATTCATGGTTGGATTTGAGATTAAAGGTATTCAAGAATCTAGATTTCTTATGTTTCCCACCTTAACTATTTTTTCAAACGATCATTCGCTTTATAACAATTTAGTGGACCCCATGAACATTGGCTTTCAACTCAAAATCCCAAGACAATATATTTAGATTGACGACATCTCCATGTTAGGTGGAGTTTTGGTCTTGGGAATAGAGAATGACAAAACAACGAGTGTGAAACCGTGACGATTTTGACAGAGAAATAAGCGTATTGACTTAGAAATAAACGTATTGATTGAGTAATAAACGTATTGACTGAGAAATAAATGTATTGACTTACACCGTTGAAGATTTAATTAAGATATAAATATTTGTTTTCCCAATCCTATAATCAGCATTTATATATAATTCTATTTTTAATCYTTTACATAAACAAAAATTAAAATCAAAATAAAGGGTAAAAACTTCATTATTCGGGTCACAAATTTGTGTTTAACGTGTAATGGCTAACAAAAACATAATCCTTCGAATATTTTAATAAAAACATATTTTAAAGACATCAATTTTTGTTTTGATATAATAAAAACATATTTTAATAAAAATAAAGAATATTGCTATGGACAATCCTTAATCGTCTATCTTTTTAAGTAATATTTGGTACGTAAACATGATTGGACATGAGAAAGGAGGATTGCATATGATTGGACAAAATAAGTGTCTGATGCTTAGTATGACTAGGAATGAACATGACAGAACTAGAAAAGTTTCCTTCAAAAATTGTTTGATAATTTTATATGTCATATAATAGTTATAATTAACACAAATAAAATAAATAATTTAAATTATAAACATTTTTACACAATTTTCATATACATAAATACGTGATAGTACCAAATTTGAAAAAAAACTTGATCCGTACAAAAGATAAATTATGTTTTATACAAGGTTCACATATAATGACTCCAAACTATTTATGATTACCCAAACTAGTTAATATGCATAAACTGATCCAAATATTCTCGACGTGTTGGCTACAACTTGACTTGTCAAGTGGTTTTGCCAATAAAAGACAAAGTGAGGCTTATTTATGTGAACAATCCGAGCTCCTTGAATGTGCTTATTTCATTTCGAAATTATATATCGATAGATTCTTATTCTATTCAGCATCAATCAATATGAGCTCTTTATGCTACATTTGCCTACTCCTCCTTATGTCCTTATTTCATTTCAGTTCATCTACTAATAACAAGAATGATGTATTATGCATGGATGTTGAGAGACAAGCACTTTCCCGGTTCAGGCACGGCCTCATCGACCGTGCACACCAACTTGCTTCTTGGGTCGGGGATGAAAAAGATTGTTGCAAATGGGCAGGGATTGTTTGTGATAATGTTACAGGTCATGTTCATCAGATTCATCTTCGTGGAGTAGGTGGCCATTGTCGTGTTGGTGACTACACAACTCCCAAAGCATACGAAGAAGCATCGAAGCAAATGCTAGGAGGGGATTTAAGTTCATCGTTGCTCAATCTAAAGCAACTCAAGCATCTAGACTTGAGCTGCAATGATTTTGCAGGGATCCAAGTTCCTAGCTTTATTGGTTCTCTCGGAAACTTGAGATATCTTAACCTCTCGAGTTCCAAATTTGGCGGAACTATCCCTCCTCAAATAGGGAATCTTTCGGAATTGCAAGTCCTCGGTCTTGGGAGTTTTTATGATAAGACTTACGGATCTGAATCAACTAGCATGTTGAACATGCAGTGGTTGTCAAGCCTACGTTCGCTGCATCACCTGGATATGAGTGGCCTGGACCTAAGCAAAGCAACTGATTGGCTTCAGGTGATGAACACCCTCCCTTCTTTGATCAAACTGCATATGTCTGATTGTCAACTCTCAGATATACATCCCCAAGTTCCTAGTCTTAATCTCACATCCCTTTCCTTGCTTGATCTTTCTACTAACGCTTTTGATACCACTTCTGTACTACGGTGGATTTTTAGCATACCGAGTCTAGTTTCGTTGGATTTAAATGAGTGTTATTTCCATGGACCTATTCCTGGTAGCGTTGATAGCTTCCGTAACTTCACTGCCCTCAAGTGGCTTCACGTCTCTGCGAATGATTTCATGAATTCTTCGTTAGTATTACAAGGGTTGTCTAGCGTAGGTMGYAATCTCATTTCGTTAGATATTAGCTATTGCGATGTTTCGAGTTCAGATCTAGTTGCACTTCACAACTTGACTTCCCTTCTTAACATCGACCTATCACAAAACCAGCTCACCAAGGTAATTCCTAAATCATTAGGTAACCTTTGCAACTTGAGACAGGTTAATATGGCAGGTAACAACTTCGAAAATATCAGTCTTACAGTCCTTCTTGAAACTTTTATCGAGTGCAAATCCCCTAGCTTGGAGTCATTATCCCTTGGATACTCCCAGCTATCTGGTCATCTACCTGATTCAATAGGAAGATTGTCTTTTCTGAAGTCATTATCTCTGGCTGAGAATCTCATTTCTGGTTCAATTCCATACTCAATTGGAYGTTTGTCGTCATTGGAGAGCTTAGATCTACGGAATAACCAACTAAACAGCAGCCTTCCAGATAGCCTCGGTCTACTTTCAGAGTTGGAGTATTTAGATATTTCTTATAATATGCTGACCAATATCGTGACAGAAGCTCATTTTGCCAGACTAGCCAGATTGAAAGTCTTATGGGCAAATAACAACAACTTAATATTAAGACCACGCATTGAGAACTGGATTCCCGCTTTCCAGCTGCAGCTTTTGAATTTGAGATCTTGGGATTTAGGGCCTCAATTTCCAATGTGGTTGCAATTGCAAAGGGATTTAGAAACGATGGATATCAGCAACACAAGGATTTCATCAACCATCCCTGAGTCATTYTGGAGATCCATGCCCAATCTACAAGTTTTAAACATGTCGCAGAATAATATACAAGGAAGGTTGCTTGGTATCCATGCACCACTTTCGGTTATTGACCTAAGTTCTAACAACTTCAGCGGGCAATTACCAGAACTCTCAAAAAGTTCATCGGCATTTATCCTGGATCTTTCGCGTAATTCCTTCGTGGGTTCGTTACACCGTTTCTTGTGTCTCTATAGTGGGGAGAAACTAGATTTTCTTAATCTTGCAAATAATCAACTGTCTGGAGTCATTCCAGAGTGTTGGATGAATTGGCCGATTTTGTCATTCTTAAACTTGGAGAACAACAATCTATCTGGTGAGATTCCAAGAACTTTGGGATCTTTATCTTCACTAGGATCATTGAATATGGGCAACAACAAGCTCTCTGGAACATTGCCTMTTTCTCTAAAGAACTTGACGAACTTGGAGATCCTTCAATTTGCTAGAAATGAACTTGTTGGAAGGATTCCAACATGGTTTGGGAGAGAACTCTCAATTTTGAGAATTCTCAACCTCCGTTCAAACAAATTTGACGGACATATTCCTCATGAGCTATGTGATCTTACCGTGATTCAGATCTTGGTCCTCGCTCATAACAATCTATCAGGAAATATTCCAAGATGCTTCGACAAATTCAATATCCTCTTGGGGAAAGAAACGACCTCAGATGGTCGGATTTTTTCCTTATCTATTCTTGGGACAGACCTTTTGGGTAGTGCCTCTTTGGTAACCAAGGGACGAGAGGACACATATAGCACTATTCTTAGACTAGTGATGATACTGGACCTTTCTAGTAACAAATTTTCTGGACAAATCCCAAGTGAGCTGATGGCGCTTCAGGCATTACAGTCRTTGAATTTATCAAGAAATCAACTGACCGGAAGGATCCCAGAGAARATTGGAGACATGAAAGACCTTGAATCTTTTGATATCTCTCAAAATCAACTTTCTGGGGAACTTCCTTTGAGCTTGTCAGGCTTGAGTTTCTTGAGTAGCTTCAATGTGTCATACAACAATTTCACTGGAAGCATCCCATCAAGCACACAGCTTCAGGGTTTCGATGAGTCCAGCTTCTTTGGCAACCAACTCTGTGGAAATCCGCTCACAAAGAGTTGTGGAACCAAAGTACCTGAGTTATACCAACAAGGTGCCAAAGGATCAAATGGAACAGATTGGGGCTTGGTCATTAGCATAGTGTTGGGATTTGTTGCTGGTTTCTGGATTGTCTTGGCTCCATTGATAGCCAGCACAGCATGGAGGATTGCATATTTCCGTTTCTTGAGCGAGCTACGGTGTATGTTTTGTGATGTCATTAGTAAGTATTGTTGTAATATGTTTCCTAAGTGATGAAGAATGTCATGATATTGTAATATTATGTTCTTAAGTTTCACTTTGAAGAAAAGACAATTGTTTTCTTAATAAAGTAAGAACCTTGTATTC